TGTTACTTCAAGTGAAAGTCATTCTTTCTTAAGTCACAGAGAATTGCTGTCTTTATCTGTCCCCTACTCACTTGCCATGACTTCTCAGTAGCTACTTGAAATCCTGCCCATGTCATATGGCCTTGTCATACATGTAAAGGTCAAAACAGAAGGACACGAGGAGGCAGGCTCTTTAATCAGTACCCAGCCCTGGTTTTAGCAAAGACCTCTTCTCCCACCCTCAGATTTGGGCCAGATCTTCCTCCCCCTCTTCTTCCTCCTTTTAGACAGACATGTAGCCCAGGCTAGCCTTGAATGTCATAGGTAGGCAGGAATGACTTTTTAAACTCCTGATCCTCCTGCTGCCACCTCCTGAGTGCTGGGATTGTAGGAATGCACCACCCTGACTAGTTTATGCCGCATTGAGGAACAAACCCAGGGCGTTGTGCTTGCCAAGCAAGCTCTCTTCCCACTGAGCTACATCCTGGCCCTGGGACCAGATTCTCAGATGTGGTCAACAGGAACAATATCCCTGCTCTTCCCTCAGGCTTTGGCTGTTTCCACCTGTGCTGGCCAGAAAACAGGACCCACAGAGGAGCGTAGTTGGCAGTGGCATAACTGCGCAGTTTGTGAGTGACCTCTTCTGGTTAGCCAGAGGCCTTACTCCCTGACATGCAGCCACCCTTGCTATCATATCAGCTTCTTTATCTCCCATTCTCCCAGGTACAGTAGACCACTGTGGTCTGTTTTCAGCAAGAATCTTGTCAGGTTGGTTTAGCCTGGGCTCCTCTTATCTCTGAGGGAGTTTCCTACCACTAGCCTTCAGTGTGCTCCTTGGTTATAGACTCCATTTGCCGATGTCACAGCTATCACACTGGCCCTGAATTAAGTATTCCCTGCTGTGTGTTACACAATGATTTAAAGCAAGGATCTACTTAGCTAACTCACACAAAGGAGCAAATAATTAATTATACACACTTCTTTCTGGAGACTTTGCATTTTAATAAGCATCCAACACTTTAGTTCACTTCAAAACTTTTAAAAGATTTATTTTGTATGCATGAATGTTTTGCTTGCATGTGTGTACATGCATCCAGTATGTGCAGTATCCAAAGAGCCCAGAAGATGGTGCTGGATTCCCTAGAACTGGAGTTAACAGAAAGTTGTGAGTTGACATGTGGGTACTAGGACTGGAACCCAGGTCCTCTGCAAGGGCTCTTAATTCTGAGCCATCTTCCCAGCAACCCCCACACTGGGTGTTTTTTTTTTTTTTTTTAAGTAGGAAAGAAAAAAACAAACACTTGAAAAGAAGTCTGATGGACCAATGAGAAGCCCCTGGGAACCACATGTTCTGAGAGAGGACCTTCAGAATGTCCCTAAACTAGAGACAGCCTGTTCCACATGCATCAAAGTCGGAGGCCCATATGCTTCCTTGTTCATAGCCCTGGTGGAAAGTGCAGGTCATGATTGTAGGAGTCTATTCACTGTAAGCCAGGTATACCAGCAGATCGGTGTATCCAAAACCGGAACTTGGCTGGGATGTAGCTGGGTAGTAGAGTGCTTGCCTACTTTGCTAGATGTGCTGGGTTTTATCTCCAGACCCCATGAACTGGGTGTGGTGGTGCATGGCATAATCTTAGCACTCTGGAGGTAAAGGCAGGAAGGTCAGAAGTTCGAGGTCATTCTGTGTATCTAATTGAAGGCCAGCCTGAGCTACACAAGATCCTTACCCAAAAAGATAGACATTAAGATTTTGTTTTTTAAAAATGGAAGCAAATCACTTTCATTAGCTAAGGCCCCAAACCTAATTCATATTGTACTTCTTCTTTTTAATTATATTTACCAATTTCTTATATATGAGTTTGTATCTTTTATTTATTGACAATTTAATACATGTATACAATGTATCTTGATTCTGTCCACCCCCAACTTCTCCCTCTCACTTGCCGCTAGTCAGATTGTGTGTGTGGTGCCCAAGGAAGCAAAAAAGAGGGTGTCAAATCCCCTGGAACTAGAATTACAAGTGGCTATGTGATTGCAAGCTAGAAAGTGAACCCAGGTCTTGTGCAACAGCAGCAAGCGCTGTTAACTGAGAAGTGATCTCTCTAGCCCTCAAAGTGTATTTCTTTATGAGACCATAAGTTAACTCTGTCCCCTCCTACTGCCTCACCAGTTTACCCAGCATTGGACTTAACATTCCCGGAAATCTGTAGCTAACAGCAGAAAGACACATCTGCTTCCCTGGTTAGTCTTCACTGGTCACTTGACACAGCCTAGAGTCATCTGGAAGGTGAGCCCCAACTGAGGCTAGGTCAGATTGTCCTATGGGCATGCCGATGGGGGATCCTCTTGACTGTTAGCTGATGCAGGAGGACCCCACCCACTGTGAGCGGCATCATTCCCTGGGCAGGTGATCCGGGGCTGGCTATCTAAGAAAGCCAGCTGAGCCTGAGCCTGTGAGCAAGCTTGTTAGCAAGCAGCATTCTCCAAGGTTCCTGCTGTATTTCTTGGCTGTGAAATGAGTTTCTGGGTTGGAGTTAATGATGTGTGGAATAGCATGCAGGCCTGTCTTGACTTCCCTCCGTGATGGACTGTGAACCCAGGTTATGAAATAAATCTTTCCTTTTCTAAATTGCTTTTGGTCAGAGTATTTTATCACAGCAGGAGAAAGGAAACTGTAACACCGACGGTGCATGCAAGTAGCCACTGTCCCGTTTCATAGGTCCCGTGGTACCACAGGGCTGTCAGTGTGCTTCTTCTCTTTTTGAGATGTAGTCTTGCTATGTATGCCAGGTTGGCCTTGGACTTGCAGAGATGCTCCTGCCTCAGCCTCCCAAGTGCAAAGATTTCATGCATGTGCCAACCAGGGTTGGCTTCTGAACATGAGTTTTTGCTTAGCTTTCTTTATAGTGCTATGGGAACTCTTGACTGGGACAGTGAAAGGTGGGAGCAGTAGAGTGCTTTGCTTTTATTTTCAATGCTGTGGATAAAACCCAAGGCTTCCTGCATGCTAAGCCAGTGGGGGCTCCTGCAGCTGTCCCTTCCTCACACAAGAAAACAAAGGGGAAACTTAGAAACTGTGTGACTTGATTTCCATTGTGGGGACTAGACACGAGCAACACTAATAATTTGTCTCTGTCAACCCACCTGTATAATTTGTGTGTGTGTGTGTGTGTGTGTGTGTTTGCGCGCGCGTGCGCGCGCGCGTGCGTGTTCATGCATGCATGTATGTGTGGACATCAGAAGACAACTTGCAGGAGTCAGCTCTCTCTTTCCACCTTGTGTGTTTGGGAATTGAACTCAGGTCGTGAGGCTTGGCAGTAAGCATGTTTACTCATGAAGTTGTCTCACTAGCTATAATTTCCCTTCTAAAGGTTATAACAGTCTTTGAACCATTGAAATCAATGGTTCTAGCCGGGCGTGGTGGCTTACACATGTAATCTCAGCATTTGGGAGGCTGAAGCAGGAGGACTGCCAAGAGTTTGAGGTCAGCCTGAGCTATACAGAGTGAGCCTTTGCCACAAAACCAACGAAATCAGTGTTCTTAACCAGAATTAGATGTCACTGCCGAGAGACCGTTCCATTTGGAAACATTTGGGATTGTCATAACTTGGCACGGAAAGGGGTTTGTACTTAGAGTGCTTCTAGCAGGTGGCAGGTAGACAGTTTAGGCACACAATAGGTCAGTCTTCCACAGCAAGGAACCATCTGGCCCCAGGTGCCGGAAGCATGAAGAAACCTTGAGCTAAGCAACAGAAAAAGGAAGAATCATTTCCTGTTATCCAACTAGCTCAACAAAAGGACCGCTTTTCTTTTCTGTGTTCTTCCCAGTCCCCATCCCACTGTGAGTACATGTATTTCCATAGTCATGGTAGGACTGTAGTGCACGTTTCTGCACTTGACATTACATTCTGAGATGGGGGCCCACCTGTCAGATATTGTGTGTGTGTTTGCCTGCAGGTCAGAGGTTGACATTGGCCATCTTCCTCATTGCTTCACCACCTTGCCTGTCTATTTATTTATTGAGGCAGGGTCTCACTACGGCTGGCCTGGAGCTTGCTACATGGTCCCTGCTGGCCTTGAACTCAGAGAGATCTGCCTGACTCTGCCCCCTGAGGCATGTGCTGCCACACCCAGTTGCCACTGTATTCTTTGACCCAGATCTCACCAATTGGCTAAAATAGCTGACCAGCAACCCCCAGGGATCCTTACATCTCCACCTCTCCAGCATTGGAATCAGAGGCCTTCACTGCTTCTCATGCTTGATACTTCTTTACCCTGGTGCTTGAAATCCAAACTCAGGTCCTCATGATTTCACAACTGACCCTTCACCCATTGAGCCATCTCCTAGCCCTTCAGTTACCACTTTCAATGGATATAATACAATACTTCAGACAAGTCAATACCCCAGGTCTTACCCAGCCAGTCTGTTTCTTACTGGAGGTGTTGGGAGAAGAAAGAGTGGTGCTTGCCAAGTGGACTCCCGGGGACAGTGGCTCAGTGATCCTGCTGTGGCCAGCCTCCTCTTCCCACAGTCCAGGCTTTAGCATCATTGGCCTCATCATCAAAAGGCCTTTATGAAGCGCCTGGTGAATACATCATCCCACCGGGAGGCTCTTCTGCAGAGATTGCCCTGCCGGCCTCTGACATCCAGGGCAGGCTGGCTCAGGCAGACAGCATACATGAGAGCCAACCACGAAGGCATCTAAAGACCAGGCCATAGGCCTCAGGCAGAGTGCAATCACGGACTCTTAGACAACATTCATGACAAGGGTAAGCATAGCCGGGAATGTAAAGCCAGACTGCACGCCCAAAGCCAACCTGGCCCTTGTATCCCAACTGGTCAGGAACTGCTTGGGGGACAGAGGATCTTAGAAGCAACTGGGAAGAGAGTGGACAGAGGCAGGAAGGGAGAGGACCAGGACAAGGAACTGCTCAGTCACCCAGAAAACTTGATGCTAGCCAAAGACACCCTTCCCATTGTCTGACCTCCTTGCCCCTTCCTTGTCTCCACTCCACAGGTGTTCCATGAGCAGGGCATCCTCTTTGGCTACCGACACCCACAGAGTTCCGCCACTGCCTGTATCCTCAGCCTTTTCCAAATGACCAATGAGACCCTCAACATCTGGACGCACCTGTTACCCTTCTGGTACCTTCGACCCCCTGGACAGCCTATCTCATTTGGGATCCATGGGGACTAGACTTTGTAAGACACAGCTGGGTGGCAGAGATATTTTATGCTAGGACCAGGGGTCCCCCTGTGGGTGCAGGTGCACGTATGACAGAGGTGGAAGGCACTGGGACAGTCATGTACTAAGCGCCAGGCTGTGGATTGCCATAGCATTCTCGGGTTTCTGTTGACTGGGTAGCATTTATCTTCATCTCCTTCAGTCTTACAGGCTTTGCCGGTCTTCAAGAAGTCTTTATTAAAATGTCACTAACTTGAGCAAGTCACTTAATCTCTCTGAGCCAGGCATTTTCTGCCTGTAGAACAGCCATGATCCTCTGTCTGTGTCTTGGGGCTGCTGTGAGAACTGAGAGAAGGGCCTGATAAAGACAGAGATACAGGAGATGGAGATGTAGCTCAGTTTGTAATATGTTTGCAAGAAGCCCTGGTCTCAATCCCTAGCACTGCATAAACCATGCCCGGAAGCCTCACACTATAATATTGGGAGTCTTGAGGTAGAGGCTGGAGGAGTTCAAGGTCATCTTCATTTACATAATGAGTTTGAGGCCAGCCTGAGCTGCATAAGACCTTCTCTGACAAAACAACAAAAAAAGACATAGGTCCAGTTGTTGGTGCCTGTAATTATCTGGAGATTATAGTAGCCATATACCATTGGTGACCTTTAATGGAGCCAACTAGAAACCAAGCTCTGGGAAGTAAGGGTACCGAAATGGGGGTTTCAAGAAGACCAAGAGGCTCCTTGCTGAGAAAAGTGGGGTGAAGACCAACTTTACACACCTAGAGCCTTTGCTTGGTGATGGAGAGGTGGGACAAGGTCACATCTCCAAATAAAGGCACAGCTCTCCCTGAGTATAAGTGGGGATTGGTTCCAGGGTCCCCTAAAGATGCCAAAATGTGTTAAGTTCTACATGTATCAGGTGGCAAGTATTTACATATCTCTGCACTTTAAATCATCTACAGATTCCTTACCCGAGGCAAAGTAAATACTATGCCAAAGGTTGTAACACTTTTCAGATAAAAAGGGCAAGAAAAGTGTCGGTTGTATGTTCAGTATGGAAGCAGCCCTCCCCCCCACCCCACCCCCCAGTTGGATATTTTGGTTGAATCAGAGAAAATAGGATGTGGAGGTCTGGAGGGTTGGGTATTTGTCAGGCCTAGGAGGATCTCAGGAGTCAGCAGGTCACTGTCCTACCAGACCCAGATGCAGCTGGAGAGGGGAAACCTTCCTTATGGCACACAGATGGTGGCCCAGGCCAGGCCTGAACAAAGTCCTTTGAGTCATGAGCTATGTGGAGAATCCCTGAGTGTGGCAAGCAGACATGAGCCCCAGGAAGGTCCCTGTGCTTCAGCACAGAACAGCCAGCCCAAGTAGATGTCGGAAGACAGGGTGAGAACCCAGCAACTAAGAGGAGGGGAGAGAAAAGACACCATCTTGTGGTGAAATGGGTGATCTATAGAGAAGCTTGACTGCCCTGAGGCCTGCAGTCCGCAAAGTGGCAGCAAAATCTAGTAGCTCAAGAAGGCCATTAGTCACATCAAATCTTTGCTTACATAGAAATTGGAGGCTGGCAAGATGGGTCAGTGAGTAAAGGCAATTAGCAAACAAGCCTAGCAGCCTGGGTTTGATCCCCAGAACCTGTATAAGGGTAGAAAGAAAAAACTGACTTCACAAAGTTGTTTTGTGGCCTATATATGTGTAATATAGCATGCATGCACACACACACACACACACACAAACACAAACACACACACACCACTCCATATACACAATGATAAACACAAAAATTTTTAAAGACTTTATGCTATCTGAGCATGTTGGTCCATCATGCCTGTAATCCCAGAACTTGCTAAGTTGAGGCAGAAAGATGGTGACTTTGAGGGCCAGACTGGGCTATATACTAGGACCCTGTTTCACAGCAATATCAATAACAACTTGTGCATGCTGGCAAATTGAAGACTGAAGAAGGGAATAGATCCAGGCTGTTCCTCTGCCCCTCATTCTCATCCCTGGAGCTGCTGGGGCCACCTGTTTCTGTGTACCCTCCAGAGCTTTCCCAGAAAGCCTTGACTATGGTGTACGTGCCCCAGCTCCTTGTCATTTCTCCCATGGTCTTCCCATTGCTCATCTCCCTCGAAGATCATAGTATCTGTGCCTGAGACATCAAAGCTTCTGAACAGGTGTTCTAACAGGCGGATACAGGCGGATAGGCCATAGTTTGCTTAGGCTTTCTTGTTATCTTTTTTTTTTTTTTGAGATAGGGTCTCATGTAGCCCAGGCTGGCCTTGAACTCTCTTTATTACTAAGGATGATCCTCCTTCTTCTACATCCAAAGTACATGTGCCATTATGCCTGACTGAGTTTAGGCTATTTTGAAATTCGTGCCACCATGTAATGTCTGCCATTGCTTGTGTATCTTGATGTCCATACACAGCTAAGCTGTCTACACTGCTCATAGCTCCCAATGCCAGACCAAGCTCTCAGATGATCCACTCCAACAGTGCAGAGCACTATGGAGAACCCAGAAAAAAATTCTGCATTAGGATGCCCCAAGCAAATAGAATGAGGAATAATTGGTTGTTGACGAAAGGAAAAATTGGGAGGGGGCAGCAAACAGCTTAAGTGTCCCACCCTTGCTAGACCATAGGAAAAAAACTATACTGGTAGTTAGAAGGCTTTGTGACCCTCCTTCAGTTACTGGGTGAAGAGACTTGTAGAGTCCCTTTCTTGATGGACACTGAGAAAGGGACCTAGCTCTCCAATAGTGGTTTGTGGAAGGGAGGTGTTGTGTAGGTAGAACTCACATATGGTTGTCGGCCAGGTAAATGTGACTTAGGGTGAGCTTCCCAACATTCAGAGCTACCATGAAAGGGGATGAGACCATCATTCTTAGGGGTATGTAAGCTGAGATGGAAGAATATCTTGGGCAAGATGCTGTAGGTAGGATCCTATCTCTAAGGACTGTCTTCTTATCCTACTTGTCTGTTCCCAACTTACTGCTTAAATCAAAAAGGCACACCCCCACCACAGCGCCTCTAGCACATGTCATTTCATTTAAGTGAGGAGTCACTGGATAGGCCATCTTTCAGTGGGGTGGAAAGCAGAAAACAATTAAAAGGGGATTGAGTGGGTGCATATTCTGTTCTAGGTTCTTTGTGTGGAGGTTCGTGACTGCACTGTATATGACAGACATCCAGAATGACAGCTACTCATGGCCCATGCTCGTGTACATGTGCACCAGCTGTGTGTACCCCCTTGCATCCAGCTGTGCACACACCTTCAGCTCTATGTCCAAGAACGCCCGGCATATCTGCTACTTTCTGGACTATGGTGCTGTCAACCTCTTCAGCCTGGGTACGTGAGGCCCTTGCCCTTTCGTCCCCTCCACTTGAGACTGACACTTGCCTGTCTCCCAGGAGATTTGATGGGTTTTGGAAGAGTCATGAGGATGCAGAATCCCTGTCCAGAGCGCTGTAATAGGCTTGTTCATACCTGTGCTGTCTGTGGATATACCTTGACCTGGGGTGCTTGCCAATTCCTGTGGTGTAAATGCCCCCTCCTTGCTTCCCTTCCTGTTCTCTGAGTGGCATCTCCAGATGTAGAGGTCTAAGGAGAAGCCTAGGAGCAACCTCCAAGGAGTTACATAGTAACTCCATCACACAGATCTGTGTTCTCAGTACTTAGGACTTTGGTTACTGTGATTTAGTTAATTACAACTCACACTTTCCCAAAGCTCTGAGAAGAGGAGTGGTGGCTGCTGCTGAAGCTGGTTGGGTGGTACTGCTCCCATCCTCTTTGACTTCCCCCCCTAACTAAGAAGCCTTCCCCCCTGCTTCTCTCCTCCATGTGATTATCATCCAACCCTTAGGGTGCTGTTGGCTCTTCCTCCCTCCTGGCCCTGCTCTAGCTGTGAGAAACAGTCACTGTATCTGCATTTGCAAGATTTTGTCCAGGGGAAGGTTACACTCATCTGTCTTCCTTCTTTTCTCTCCCTTCACAAGTGTATACCTGCCTTTGCCCCCCCCCACACTGTCCAGTTCTCTCTAGTCATTAAAACTGGTTGCCATGGCCCCAGCCCTATCATGTCTTTCCTCCTACATCCCTGTTCTCAGTCTTTTCTGGTTCCTTCCTCTCCTCTGCCCCATAGCTGGGCACACTCTGAATTGTCAGGAACTCAGGATTAACCATGGGGCCTTTAGTCTAGCATGCCCAGGAGCAATCTCCCATCCCCTGACATCTTTGGACAAGGGACTCCGAAACCTTATCTTTAAACATTGGTTATGAAGCCAAGCTGAGCTTGAAGCCAGGACTGGTTGAGTCTTCTCCCCACCCGTGTCCCACTTTTGGTCACCCTGCTCTTCCTCTCAGGACCCTGGCTAGGGGTGCCACCTCCTGCTTTGCTCTAGTCAGAGCTAACAAACCTCAGCTCCTCCTCCCACCGCTACTCCCCATTCTATCCAATCAGTGGTCAAGCTCAGGCTGTCCCATGAATCCTCCCTCAGTTAGCTTGACTCATGTTACCTGGGAGGTTCCTGCCTTGTCTCCTGCCAGTTCTTCAGGCTCCTTATTACCTGGGATAAGGTCCAAACCCTCAACTGAGTGGCTTCTAGCTTCCTGAGAACTGGTGCTCTCTCTCTCTCTCTCTCTCTCTCTCTCTCTCTCTCTCTCTCTCTCTCTCTCTCTCTCTCTCTCAACAGGGCCTTGTACTTGCTATGTAATCAAGAATGAACTTGACTTCTGACCCTTCTGTCCTCATCTTCTAAGTGCTGTAAAAACAAATGTGTGCCATTATAGTCGGTTTAGGCATTGCTGGGAATGAGACTCAGGACTGTGTGTGCACCAGGCAAGCCCTCTATCTGAGCTACGTCCTCAGATGCTCTGTGTGGATTCTAATAAAAAAGCAAGCATTTTGAGAAGTCCTTTTAGATCAGCTATGTGCTAAGTCCCCAATGCACACCTTTTTTAAAAGATTTATTATTTCTATTTGGCTGTGTGCTATGTGTGTGGGTACCCACGGAGACCAACAGGAGCATCAAGTCCCCTGGAACTGGAGTTATGGGTGATTGTGAGCTGCCCGAGGTGGATGCTGGAAACTGAACTAGGTCTCTCAGGCCCTTTTGACAGGGCATCGGGTCCAGATCCTGAGCTTGTACCACCAGTCCCAAATTCAGTCTTAAATGAATTTCTTAGCTTCTCTAAGCATTGTTCTCTAGAATGGACATAGGAGGGTTGTGAACAAATTCAAATACTTTTGAGTCTGTGTCCATCTCATAGGGTAGCCATTACCTGCTCCCTGGCCCATCTCAAACACCCATTCCCCACCAGACCCCTTAGGCGCAGGTCAGCCTTGCTTCCTACTGTATTTTCAGGCATATCTGAGGCCCTTTACTTTTGCATTGCCTGCAATACTTGGTGTACTCCTTGGCTCCAGTCAGCATCAGTGGAGCATCTTGGTACAGACAGCTCCTGAGCATCAGGTCTGGAGAAGGGTTCCCTGGTGTCCTGGAGCTGAGCTCTGTTCTGTGCCAGGGAGGAGATGCTCAGCCCTTTCTTTCAGCTCTTGTGTTTGTTTACATATGTGTGGCAGTGAGGGGACCTCGGGTGGTCTTATTGGCCTGAGTCACTGATTAGGCTAGGATGGCTGGCTAACGAGCCCCAGGGACCCATCTGTTCCTGCCTCCCCAGCACTGGGATTGCAGGTGACTACCACCAGGCTGTGGTCCCTTGTCCCTGGGTTCAATTTTACTAGATGATTGAGTTGGGGAAAAAAGGCAGGTTGAATATGGCCTATTTCGGCCTCTAGTTGTGAAACCAATGTGCTTAATGTATTAAAACATTGATTTTCAACTTGTAGGTTGAGACCCAGGTTGAATGCCTGTTTCACAGGGGTCATTTAAGACCATTGAAAAACACAGATATTATGTCATGATTCATAAGAGTAGCAGGATTACAGTTATGAATTAGCAACAAAAATGATTTTATGGTTGGGGGCACCATAACATAAGAACTAAAGGGTTGCAGCATTGGGAGGGTTGAGAACCACTGTATTAGAATAACATGAACTGCAACCAGATCCAGCCTCTCCCATAGGTAAGGGTGAGGGCACTGGCCACTCTGAGATGGGAAATAGTATCTCTTGTTCCTCCAGACAAAACCTTTCATGGCTAGTCTCTCTAGTAGGTGTTGATGTGGCTGCCTCCCTCATACTCCAAAACCCAGAGCCAAACCCCACACTCAAAGGTTACTCCCAGCCCACCAATAGGACATCCCTGTCCTTAGGGATGCCCTCTTTGCTGTGATTGGGAGATTTTCAGGAAGCACCTGTCCACAGGCAGGTGAGTTTTGTGTCATCATTAGTGGCAGCCTGCGGTTAAAAGTTGTGGTTCATCTGCCTGGATTTGAAGCTTATTTCTATTATCTTGATGTGTGACTCCAGATAAATTGCTAGATCTTCCTGTGCCTCTATATGCTCATCTTTCAAACAAGTGTAAATTTTATATGGGACAGGATTATAAAGACAGAAGAGTCTGTGCAGAAGATGAAGGCTGAGGTGGTCTTTCCCAGAGTCCTCACAGTGCCGTGGCCTGGTCTCAAGGCTGGTGTTTCTTTCGCAGGCTCAGCCATCGCCTACTCTGCATACACGTTTCCTGATGCACTGGTCTGCAGTACCTTCCACGAATGCTACGTAGCCCTGGCTGTACTAAACACCATTCTCAGCACTGGTCTGTCCTGCTACTCCAGGTACTGGGTACTCTGATCTCAGGTGGGGAGCCAGCCCGTGGGAGGTGCCCAACACCTGGCTCCAGGTGGAGCCCCTGTTGTTCGATGTCTTGGTTACTTTATTCATTGTTAGGACAAAGTACTGACACAAGCACCCAGGATGCCTCGCTCAAGCCTGGCAGAGAAGGCTCCTCAGTAACAGGCAGTCCCCCACTCAGTTATGGATAGATCTGTCTCTATGGGTGGAGAGTGAGCAGTGTTGTCATGGGGACAGCTGTGCTAGTTGACGCTGGTCTTTGCAAGAGTGAACTACCTGAAATCACAGGCTCCCTGGGTCTCTTAGGATACCTTCCAGATGACTGTGACAAGGAGACAGTCCCACCTAGATAGTGCCACCATGCCAGGAAGTGACAGGTCAGGATGTTTGAGAAGGGTAGGGGCAGGCCTGTTTTGCTCCCCCGGGGGTGAGAGCACCTTGCGGTTCATCTCACACTGGATTTTGTGTGGCTTCACCCCCCCACACTCCTCCCCACTGGCAACCCTGAATTGCTGTGGATGGGGATGGTCTCTCTTATCTTTGTGGAAACCACAGAAGTCCCTGAAAGCTGGACAGGGCTTGACTCCACCTGAAGAGCCAGGGAATAAATCCTTTGTCCTGAGTTGTTATGTCCTTGTAATTCCAAGAGGAATTAGATTGTGTGGTATACAGTCCCTGTACCAGGGTATACCACCAATGGTGGAGAGCGGCCAGGTCCCCATCTTGGATGAAGCAAGTTGCATGCATGGTATGGAGATGCAGTGTGCCTGGGTGATCTTTCCTCTGGTTGCCTGGACCCCCAGGGTAGTCCTGGGCACCCCTGAATCTAGTCTTTGGGTCAGTGTTGCTCTGGGATCAGAAGGAACAAATGCTCTGGGTAGTGGGGGTTGGAGCAGCTCATGGGTGTGAAAGATACAGTTCCTATGATTAATAGGACAAAACTGATTTCCCAGGGGTTCTCAGTGCAGCATATTAAAACATCTGTAGTCTTTTAAATTAATTAAGTTTTGAAAGCTCCTGACCGACCACCTGTTAGCCACCAGGGTACATTGCTTCCTTCTAACCCAGGGTCCCCCTTGACCGTGCAGGCTCAGTGGTGGGTGTTGTGGATTCATCTAGCCTGATGCATTTGAACAGTGTTTGGCACTGACCCAGGAATGTCTTGTGCACCCATGTTTTAGGCCTTCTCTCCTTGGCTATGAAACAGTTTTTTCTGATGATCCAGAGAGCACATCTGGGGCTATTGTCCCACTATCCTGACCAATGTTCCTCAAGTGCCTGGGCTTTGGGGACCCATGTGAAAAGTCTGCCACACCTGGCAAATGAGCTCTTGCCTAAAGAGAGTGCCAGGTGCAGGAAAGGCAGGGGACACACACACACACACACACACACACACACACACACACACTGCTCATGAAGCAGAATCAAGAGCAAGGGAAGAGCCCCATGTCATTGAGTATACTTGGATACATGGGGTCTTGAGAGGCTGCCTTAGGATTAAGAGGAAGCAAGTGGCAGCCCTAGAGCTGGATAAGGCAGGGCCTTTGGGGTGGAGAAAACAGCCTGGGCAAGGATGGTAGTGTGAGGGGTAGAGGGTTCAGGAAAGGGGGCAATGCACTTCAGGGTGGGAGGGAGGATGGCCAGAGAGGGCCCCAGGGCAAGCTGGGAAGTCTAGGGCTTTCCTTTGTTCTTTGTGGACAATGATCTCCTGGGCTATTCTTCCTGGGCTCAGCTTCCTCTCTACAGGACCCTTGAGATATAGCACCAGCAGCCCTGTGCAGGTCTCCTCAAGCTTGAGAGGGGAGCTAAGCACGTGTTCCTTTCCTGACCCTGTGCCCTCATGGCCCTACCCTCAGCCTGCAGCCCGGCGAGCTGTCCTTGCTCTCTGCTTCATGTCACCTGGCACTATAGATCTTCCTTTCAGCATGCCTGTGTGGCCATGGAGTTTTGTTTGGTTTAGTGTGTTTTGACAGAGGGTCCCACCATGTAGCCCTTGCTGCTCTGATACCCGTTATGTAGCCTGTGGCTACCCTCTCACCTTATGACCCCTGCCCCAGTGGGGATACACACATCCACCACCTCTCCAAAGTTCCATAAACAAAACAAGGTCAGTATACTGACCGTCACAAAGTACTCTGGGCCAGAGGAATAATATTTCAGTATATAGAGTGGTAAAAGTCAGCCTCTAAAGGGCTGGGGGCAGAGCTGGGACAGTGGCTGAGCAGACCAAGTTCTGGAGGCTGTGACACTTCAGCCAGGTAGCAAAGTGCTGTGAAAGTGTCTCCTTTCCTATGAGCCTCCAAACTAGGAAAAAAAACCCACACAACAGAAGACCACACACACACACACTCACACATGCACACACACATGCATTCACACACACACATCATTCACACATGCACACTCACACACACATGCATTCACACACATTCACACACATCATTCACACATGCACACTCACACACACACATGCATTCACACACAGTCACACACACATTCACACATGCACACACACGCACACACCCCACAAACACACCCCACACACATGCAAATACACAGGCACACAAGTGTGTACTTTTGCAGTTGAATAACTTCCAATTAACTGCTTGCATCAGGCATCAGTTTTGGCATTTCAGTTGCCAAGATTTATTGACTCACCCTGGTCTTAAGGGAGGCTTCTCCAGAATCCAGTGTTTCCTCCGGCAAGGCTTCCTGGGCATAGCTCTCAACCCCAAGGGTGTGTAAGCCAGCTGTGCTTTGGAAACTGTTGCTAAGTGCTTTGGAGGCATCTCTCACCAAGACTGCTGCTCTAGGAATCTCTAGCTGTGGCGACATCCTGTGGTTGGATATGGAATTGCATCTGGTGTCTTCTGTGGTTAAGGGGTTCTTCCCCCCCTCTGTTGCTTTCTCTCTTCTATTCTTCTTTTCTTCCCCTCTTCTCCCTCCCTCCTCCTCTTTTTGTCCCCTGTAGACTCAGCTTTGTTGCTGGAGAGGTTGTTCTGTTTGCCTCCTGGGGAAGCACTTTTTCAGGCTCAAGTTGCAGGAAACCCGTGCTTTGGGGGGACAGCCCTTGCCAAGTCAGGGTGGCCACGAGGAGCACTCTTTAGGAGTGAGCCTGTCCCAGACAGGGCAGGTGCATATGGGGCCTGCTGTGCTGTGTTTGTGGGAAGGTGTTTCCTTGGCCCCTGGGGGAAGAAAGACAGAGGCTGGCCCATCAGGGGCAGGCAGGGGCAACGTGACAGTTGAAGGACAGACAGGCGCCTTGGGCTAAAGCCTAGCTGTGTCTGTCCTCAGCTCCTTCTGGGACCATCTGCCCAGAACCCATCTGTTTTGCTCTTACCCTCTGCTCCAGTATAACTGGGAGTGGTTTGTTTGCTTCTCCAAGCTCCATTTAGTTCCTGGACTGTGTGTGATTTGGGGACATCATTTCTTAAGTCTTTACAACAACATGGAGGGACAGGTCACACACAGGGTTAGAGGCCACCTGCCATAGCAGCATAGCCCTCATATGTCCAGCCTGTGTTGGAACCTATGAAGCCATAGCCCTGCAGCCTCCTTCCCCAGTGTTGCAGCATAGTCATGATGGTAATTGAGTTTTGGTTTTTTTTTTGTTGTTGTTGTTGTTTTGTTTTTTTGACACAGGGTCTCCTATAGCCCAGACTGACCTCAAATTCCCTGTATAAAATACATTAAAAATTACTTTGAACTTCTGATCCTTCTGACCTCAAATTCACTATATAGAATATATTAAGTTTATTTAATATAGAATATGTTTAATATACAAAACATATTTAAAATGCCTTTGGGCTCTGATCATTCTGACTTGGCCTCCAAGCGCTGGAATCACAGGCAGGCATCACCATGTCTGGTTCATGAGTGCTAGGGTTGGAACCCGGGCTTCCTGCATGCTACCCAGACAGGCACTCCATCTCCAGCCCCAGAGCTGTAGTTTGTGTGGATACCGTGCTCAGCCCTAACCTCCTGATATTCCAGTCTGGGTATCTGTGCTGCTGAACTCCCAGGTCTAAAGCTGTTACACCTCTCTAGGTCTCTAGAGGCCTAGTGGTGACCTCTTCAGGAGGTCCTGCCTCTTGCTTCTAGTCAGCGCAGTGGGTTCCTGTTGAATTCTGTCTTTGCTTTGGAGGGCAATGGGAAAACTCACAGAGGAGACAAAGACAGACCCTCTGCACATTCACTTACCCCAGGCCAGTGTTCCTGAGCATGATATTAAACACTCTAGAAACTTCTCTGGGTGATCCAGCACCCCCCACCCTTGAACCCAGGTCTTTGTATGGCATCACCTGGGTGGCCCTGGTTGGGTGCATCTCTGCTTCTGCAGCAACCCAGGGTCTGTGCTTGAGAGGCCCCTTTCTGTCCAAACAGCTTTGCTGTTAAGTGTCCTCTGGCCTTTGCAGGGTTTCTTCCGGAAGACACACACCCCCAGTCTTGGTTTGCACCCTTTGTATTTCATGCTTTCAGAGCAAGTTTCTCCTTCTTAGCTGAGGTTTTGTTCTTTCCACCAGTGTACGAAGAATGAGAGAGGCTCACGGAGAAGCTGTGGGCCACAGGAGGCCATGTAAAAATTCTTGTCCTCTGTTGACGACCCTTGTGCTCTTGCGAGTTTCTGAAAAGCTTTCATTTTCTCCCTGACTTCAGGTTTCTTGAACTCCAGAAGCCCCGGCTCTGCAAGCTGCTCCGGGTCCTCGCCTTCGCCTACCCCTACACTTGGGACTCACTCCCCATCTTCTACAGGGTAAGGACGGGGGCTACATCTCCTCTTTCCCTGTCAGCAATGCCAGGAGCTTCATTGTTTCCTGAGCTCTGAGGGAGTCATGACCCCTCAGTGGACTCTGGGGGACCCATAGGAGTTGAGACTCAGGTGCTACGGTTAGAGATAGTGTGAACACAGAGGCCCTTGGAGACAAACTTAGGAACTTAGGAACGACCATAGAGACCTGGGCAAGTGTCTTAGAGTTTCTATTGCTGTGAAGACCACGGCAACTCTTATAAAGGAAAACATTTAATTGCACTGGCATATAGTTTCAGAGGTTTAGTCCACTATTGTCATGGAAGGGACATGGCACCATGCAGGCAGACATGGTGCTGGAGAAGGAGCTGAGAGTTCTACATCTTGATCTGTAGGCAACAGGAAGTGAATTTTGAGCCACACTGGGTGTAGCTTGAGCACAGGCAATCTTAAGGCCTATGATACATTTCCTCCAACAAGGCCTCATCTACTCCAACAAGGCCACACCTCCTAATAGTGCCCCTCCCTGTGATCAAGCATTCAAACACATGAGTCTATGGGGGTCATTCCTTTTCAAACCACCACAACAAGGCAGACAGCCTGGGGTTTGGTGATCAATGGTGCCAGCTGGGAGAAAGGCCAATGCATGCATGATTGATTGTACATTATCAGTAATATAGTGTGTTGCTGAAGGGAAGGTGGGGATGCAGGTCTTAAAGGATAGATGAGAATGAGGCAGAGAGCACAGTGCAGGAGAGCTGAGGTAGGATAACAGGACAGGAAGGGAAGAGACTCTCACCTGCAGGATGCCATGGGCCTGAGTCCAAATTCTAGTCTCCAGGGATACTTGCTGTGTATTTTTAGGCAGTACACTTAAGGTTTCTGTGCCTAGGTTTCCTTATCTGTGAATGAGGCTAGCTAGCATCTGCTTCTACATAGGAGATAATGAGGATTCTTGGATGGAATGGATCTTACAGGTTCAGCATTACCTTGTGAAGAGTTTTACTTGCTACAGTAGGTGTTTTCTGTGCATTTCCCTGAGTGGGTCTATAGGACACTGGGGGATGGGAGTGCAATTCAAAACTCTTTCTGCTTCCTGGAGGGATCATGCAGACACACACAGGGAAAGTCAGCTGACACAACTGTCACCAGTTACCTGTAGATATCATGCCGTGTGATGCTGTCTAGAGCTGTGTGGGACAGTAGGGCAGAGGGGCAGAGGGTGGCTGCATTAATACCAGAATTGCCCTGCTTAGATTCCAACCCTCACTTCCCTAATTATTGGTTGTTTGCAAGTCAGTCTCGGGCTCACTTTCCTTGTGTGCAATATTCAGAGGTAGAATTTGCCTTAAGGTCCCAGGAGTCAAAGGAAACACCTTCCCACAACCCCAGCAGAAGCTGTGCAACCGCAATAAGCCCCATCTGAGGCATAGAGATGGTTGGCCTGGTGTCTCTAGTAAGGGGAAGCTATTATTGTTGTTTATAAAAATAACACCAAAATTCTGCTTCACCTTGAAGGAAAATAATGGTCATACATTGAGGATGGTTGACTGAGTCTGTCTTCTGTGTGACAGGCAAGGGCTCTATCATAGAGCTATATCCACAAGCACTTATTGATTGACTGAGTGATTTTGAGACAGGATCTCACTAGGTTGCTCAAGCTGGCCTTCAGCTAGCTCTATACACTAGGTAGGCCTTGAACTTCCAGCATTTCTGCCTCAGGGAGTGAGTTCAAGCTTGAGTCACCAAGCCAGGCCAAATGGTGATCCTTTTTGATCATACAGAAAGGCTTCCAAATGTTTTTGTTTTTAAAGAGTTTTTTTTCCCCTTACCACATCTTTTTTGTATGCACCCCCTACCAAGTGCGAGTTACAGCAAGCATATGGAAGTCAGAGGACAAATTGTGGGAGCCAACCTTTCCACTATGGGTTCAGGACTTTGAACTCAGGTCATCAGGCTTGGTGACAAGGGTTTTTACCCACTGAGCATCCAAGCCTATAAGCCTTCATTCTGAGCCTCAGTTCTATAGCTCTGCATCTGGAGTCAGGGCAGACAGGACCATGCCTCTGTGCTTGAATTTTATCTTCAGAAAGAGCAGCAATATCTGGTAGGGTTTTCTTCTTTCTCTTTGCTCATCGCTTTCTCTCTTTCTGTTTGCTTTTCTGTTTTTTTCCAGACAGGGTTTGTGTGTGTGTGTGTGTGTGTGTGTGTGTGTGTGTGTGTGTGTGTGTGTGTGTGTGTGTGTAGCTCTGGCTGTCCTGGAACTTTCTCCATAGATCAGACTGGCCTTGAACTCAGAGATCTGTGTGCCTCTGCCTCCTAGCACTTAAAGATGAGTGCTACTATTGCCTGGCACTCATCTATCTATTCTGTTCCTTCTTTCCCCTCATCCCCACACATCCCTCCTTCAGGCCATTACTGAGGAGGTGAGGCCTAGGTCTGTGGAGCTTGTGTCTAAGAAGTGTGGGTCTGAGAAAGAAAGATCTAAGGTCTGGCTTCTCAGGGCTTTTTTTTTTTTTTTTTTTTTTTTTTTTTTTTTAAACATCTGCAGCTCTTTTTGCTCCCGGGGGAGAGTTCAAGAAATGAAGCCATCCTGTACCACCAGAAGCACATGGTCATGACCCTCCTGGCCTCTTTCTTGTACTCTGCTCACCTGCCAGAGCGACTGGCTCCTGGACGCTTTGATTACATCGGTGAGTGTGGTGGGGCAGGCATGGGGCCGACCCTGAAGCAGGGGGCCACTTTCTTGGCTGGGGTGGGGACATCCTTGACAATGTGTAGGTACAGCAGTGACCTTAAATCTTGATTGAAGCCATCATTTGTGTTGCCAGTGTACTGCCGGGGACAGGGAGGATGGGGACAGGTAGGCTCAGGACCCTGAAGCACTTCAGTGAGCAACCATCCTGTACTTCCTAATACAACATGAGCATGGTAAGGGAAGAGGGGAGGACAGCCACAGAGAGGAAGAGGGATGATGGCTTTGTGGTCACTCAGGATTCCAGACAGCAGGCAGCTTACAGAGGAGAAAGTCTATCTTGACCATGGTGAGTGGAGGGCCCGGAGTCTTGTGGAACTGTGGGTTCCAGGTGCATCCTTGAACGAGGCTGCAGCTTCCGGGTCCCAGGTGCAGCTTCCAGGCCCAAACTTAGACCTCCTGACCCAAGAACTGCAAAGCTGGGGCAAGGCCGGCATGCACAGAGGCCATCTAACACTGGAGGGAGCCGAGCTAAGTATGGCTTGAGAGAGCATGTGACAGGGAGAGGTGTCAGAGCACAGGAGCTCCTAGGTTGCTGCAGTGTTCCCTCCCCATTCCTCCTGAGCAGGATGGGTGGGGCTCTTCCCACCTGCCCCACCTGTCCCATCTGCCCCACCTGTCCCACCTGGCTCTGACACTGGCTGGGAAGGAAGCACCTATGTCTGTTACTCTTCTGTTGCTGTGACCAAAACCTCAAGGGTTTATTTTGGTTTCTGCTTTGAGGGTATGTCCCACTGTGATAAGGGAAGGCATGATGGCAGCAGAGCATGAGGTAGCAGTCATACTGTGTCCAGTCAGGAAGTGGAGAGAGATGAACGCTGGTGCTCGCTCGGCTTGCATTCTTTGTATCCAGTCCAGCCCATGAAATGGTGGGTTCTCCCATCTCAGTTAAGCCAATGCAGAAACTCCCTCACAGGCATACACAGAGGCTTGCCACCCGGCAGTTCTAGAAACCGTGAAGTTGACAGTATTAGCCACACAGCACCTTTGGTTGACCTCTGTAGATGGTAACAAGCCTTTGGAATAAAAGTTCCTTAACTAGATACCATGAGGCTCAAAGGGCCGGTTACTGTCCCTACCACCACAGCAAGCACCTAGGTTCTCCCCAAGCCACTTTGACCCTGCCTGGGAGCATATTCTCCACCTACTTCATAGATGGAGCCAGCTAGGCTTTGTGATCTGATTAGAGTCTCACTTTTCTTCTTTATCCTACTAGAAGGGACTGCTGCTAGTCAAATGCTTAGAGCACATACTCTAGAGAGAACACGGTCAGAGGTCTCTACCTACCACCCACTTCAGCCCCGCCTTGAAGGAAGACAGAGCTGTAGATGAGAGCTTGGGGACCACAGGGACAGGGGTGTGTCACAGACTGGGGCATTATTTGCCAGCACTCTGGCTTCTCTACGCTTTATTTATTTACTTTAGTCCTGTCCTCTTGGGTCTAAAGATACGTAGCAGAAAAATGCTTGTGTCACAGGGGAAGGTGCTTTCTAGGCCTGTTTAGCCCTGCCCTACAGGAAGCTCCTGAGACCTAGTAGATGGGATAATTGAAGCCACTCTTCCTGTTGGGACCCTTTCAGATGCCCCATTGCTCCTGGCACATCTGTTGCTGATCTCTCTAATGGAAAGGGGTTTAGTGAATGAAGGTGAGGTCAGGGTTCTGTGTTTGGTACCATGTCACACCTGCAGCAGGCCACTTGCCTGCATCCCACACATATCTGGAGTTGGGCACAGCCTGTGCTTTGGACTTGGATAAGGCTGGGTGCCTCACCATCCTCCCGGGACAGGAGGGGGCTGGGGCTGAAGGAAGGCTGCAGGCAAGCTTGCCTGTGTTCAGCAATCTCACCCCTAGCGCCTGAAATGGGATTTGTGGTACTCTACAGAACTTTTTCATGCATTACTTTTTTTTATTTCATGTTAATTTATTTAATGTGTTTGTGTGCTGCTGTGGACATTTAGGAGTCAAAGGATTATTTGTGGGAACAGATTCTCACTTTCTACCATGTGGTCCAGGGTTTGGAACTCAAGTTCTCAGGCTTGATGGAAGGTGCTTTTCCCTTTATTTATTTAATTATTTAATTATTTATTTATTTATTTATTAGATAGAGTCTCAATATGTAGTGGAGGTGGGCCTTAAACTCAATATGTAGCCCAAACTGGGCTTGAACTCATGATCTTCCTGTCTCTGCCTAAAGAGTGCTGATATAGCTCTCTGGAGAATCCTTATTTAATGGTCATGTTGTATTGGTTTGCTAGGCCTGCAGTTTACACACACACACAATGGAAATACTCCATACAAGTGTGAGTAGACTGCACAACAGAACACTTCTGAAGGCTGACCGTCTGAGATGTAGTTGTCAGCAGGGTGGTGTCTTTGACCTTTCCTTGGCCTGGGGATGAACACCTTTCTGCAGTCTCCATGGGATTCTTCCTCAGTACAGATCATGTCCAGTGGATTAGGCCCACCCCAGTGACCTCCTCGAAATTTAACCGTCTCTCCAAAGATGGCCACAGGTTGAACTTCAGCATGTAAATGGCTCAGAGACTCAGTTCAGTCTTGGAGAGTGCCATCTACTGTTTGTGTTGTTTCCCTAACCCTGGACCTTTTCTCATGGACATGCCTACTTTTGCCCCTCCTGCTTGGGCTCCTACTCACCAACTATGGGGCTGGTGAGCTCAGTCCTGCATGGTATCCTGGACTGAGAGCTCTTGGTCATGTCTCTGATAGGCCAGAAGTTGAGACAAGAATACTTGGGAAGAGGCAAATGGAAAACTCTGGCTCTTCCAATGTGGTAGAATTAGAGCTGGGGAAGAGCAGAAGGGTGCGTACATTTTCATTTGGAAAATGGGCTTGAAGGATAAGTTGCTTTAGAAAAGGAATTTTGCTCATCTAGTCTCCCTAGTTTTCTCATATTGATTTCTAAAAAAATATACAGTAAGGAGTTATATTAGGGCCAGATTCTCTACCATAGAATCCCCCCCCCATACACACACGATACAGGGCTTACTAGATTGGGGTTTGGGTAGTCCAACAGTGTCTGGCAGCCTGCAAGAGAGGCAGAGAAGCTGCTGGTTGCTTAGGCATTGGTAGTAGTCAGTCTACACTGGAAGACTCAGGAAGCTGAGTCTGATGGCGAGAGAGCACGCGCGCGCACACACACACACACACACACACACACACACACACACCTGGTGAGTGTGTGGGGGTCTCCTTGGCTGACTCTGAATGCCAACAAATTCACAATTAAGATAATACCACAGTATGTTTGACTATTTACTATCCCACTGTGAAGTCACAAATCAATGTTGCTTTCAGTAGCTAGGGACAGGCACACATGCAGTCCCAGCGCTTTGAAGGCTAGAACAAGAGGACAATGGTAGTTAGTGAGTTCAAGGCTAGCCTGAAGCTCCACAGCAAGAAACTGTCACAAATAAGAACAGAAACAAAAACAATGGTATATAATTCCTGCAGTGGATGTACCAAAGTGTAAATCCATTCGGGACATGTCTACAATCCCAGTATAATCCCTTCTGTCCAGGTAGTGAGGATTCCCATTTCTATTCTCTGCCATAGCTTCACCTATTCTAAACATTTTTAAGGTTTAAAAAAATGTTTGTATGTGTTCGTGTGTGTGTGTGTGTGTGTGTGTGTGTGTGTGTGTGTGTGCACGCACACATCGAGTTTGCATTCTGAGGCTAGAGGAAGATGTCAGGAGCCATGCTTTATCATTCTTTGCCTTGTTCCTTTAATCTGTCACTGAACTGGAGCTCAGATGAAAACCACAAGCCCCAGCTATCCTGTTTCTACCTTCGCAGCACTGGGTTCAGAGGCATGCCTGACCATGTCTGACATTTTACATGAGTGCAAGGGATTAGAACTCAGGTCTTTATGTTTGCACAGCAACAGTCTTACAGCCATCTCCCAGGTCCTTTGTAATCATTTCTTTCTTTCTTAAACATAATTTTTAATTGATTCTTTGGGAATTTCATATCATGCACCCCAATTCCACTCATTTCCTAGTCCCTCCATATCTGCCCCCACCCCTGTAGTGTCCCCCAAAAGAAGATTTTTGAAAATTAATTCAAAACAATAACAACAAAAACCCCATTTCACTCCTCCATTTTTCCTACCTCTCTAACGCCTCTGCGTTCGTCTTAGGGGCACTGGGAGCTGCAGTGTGTCACACAGTACACCCTTTTGTCCACTCCACTTTACTTGAAAATGTTCATTGTAATGAGTTATTGGTCTGGTTCAAGGCCTCTGGTTTCTGGTACACCATCAACACTAGATGCTCACCAAAACTCCTCCTGGATATCTCATCCTGTCATTGCTCAGCATCATGGAGGACCAGTCCCTTTGTGCACTCAGATAGGTCATGGATGGTGTAGGTGCTGGAGTGGGCCAACTCAAAACCCTGGATGTAGAGCTGGGTGGTTCTTTGGTGGCAACACAGGCCATGGACCTCAACATAGACCCCAGCTTTGGTCGGACCACAGACCCAGACATGGCTCTTGGCAGCAGCTTGGGCCCAGATGTCACCATGATCCCAAGTGGTGGCACAAGCCACTCAGATAAGTTCAGCACAGCTGGATCATGGCTCTCAGACAGCAACATAGCCTCAGGTGGCAGGCCCAACCACAGGCATCCATCTGATCTTCAATGGTAACGAAGCATGAACATCAACACAGACCCTGGCTGCAGTAGGGTCATGAACCCTGACATGTCTCTCAGCTGCAGCTCAGGCCCTAATGACACCAAAGTCCTGAGTGGCCACTCAGATCAGCATGGCACCTAAGGTGGCACAGTCCTCAGACACCAATATGGCCACAGGTGGCAGCCCAGACTCTGGGGCATCAATGTGGCCTTTGGTTGTAATGTGGGCAATAGATGTCAACACCGACTGGGATTGCCAACTACCCTACTGGGATAGGACCATGGCCCTGGGCAGGAGCCCAGGCCCAGACCTTACCATGGCCCTGGGTGGCAAGCAAGCCACCACATTAGCTTGTTTCTCACCACCTTTGCTCCTTCAGTTCTGATTCTCTCCACAGCACAAGGACCTGCCCACTTCTCTTTTCCATTTCTCCACCATGCATTTGCTCATCATAATGGCATCTGTCTGCCTGGCACTGTGGGCAGACAGTGAATGTCTTCAGGCAGTTGGGGTCAATGAGGATACAGGTGGACCTGTGGCTGTCTCTCACCTGCCTCTCTAAGCATTTCTTACAAATGGAATTATAAAACTAGTGTGGTTGTACAAGCCTGTAATCCCAGCATTCAGGAGGTGGAGGCAGGAGGATCAGAAGTTCAAAGTCATCCTCAGCTACATAGTGAGTTCAAGTCAAGTCTGGGCTACATGAGACCCTGTCAGAAGACAATCAGCACTGAAGTAAGTTAAACAAATAAAATCTTATATGTGATCTCTTGTCTGGATCCTTGGATTTAGCCATTTCATTTTTAGCCTGTGTCCATTTATCTATTGGTTAATGACTTCCCAGCACTTATTTTATGTAAATGCATATATATATATATATGGGTGTGCACAAGCCATATCACACAGAGGTCAGAGAACAATTAGTAGGAATGTATTCACTCCTGAGGGTCCCAGGAGCGGCACTAAGGTTACCAGGTTTGGCAGCAGGAACCTTTACCCATGCAGCCATTTCTCTGGTTCTGACTGGTAATCTTTTTTTTTTTTTTTTTTTGGTTTTTCGAGACAGGGTTTCTCTGTGTCTTTGGATCCTGTCCTGGAACTAACTCTTGTAGACCAGGCTGTTCTAGAACTCACAAAGATCCTCCTGCCTCTGCCTCCTGAGTGCTGGGATTAAAGGCTCTGACTGGTAATCTTGATGACCTTTGTTTTTTCATAGGTCACAGTCACCAGCTGTTTCACGTGTGTGTGATCCTGGCCACACACTTGCAGATGGAAGCCATCCTCCTGGACAAGACTCTGAGGAAGGAGTGGCTCTTGGCCACCTCCAGACCCTTCTCTTTGCTTCAGATAGCAGCAGCCATGCTTCTGTGTATCATCTTCAGCCTCAGCAACATTATTTATTTCTCAGCTGCTCTGTACCGAATCCCTGAGCCTGAATTACACGAAAAGGAAACGTGATTTCAGAACATGCCAGGCTTCAGTGTTAAGTCACTGGTGTGGTGCCAGCTTACAGTGGCCAAAAGTATTTGTAGTGACTGGCGTCTTGACATTTTTTAATGGGTTCATGTCAAAAAATGTATTTAACCTGGGGAGAGTTCTGTACACATGCACTGGTTGTGTAAGTGTTCTGTAAAGGGGAGGACATGGGCTTAAGTCCCGGGGAAGGCAAATTATTGAAATATCAAGTTTTAAATTTATTTAAAACGGGGTGTTTAGGGGATAGGGATATAGCACAGTTGGTAAATGCTTGCCCACAATATACAAAGCCCTGATTTTGTGTTTTTGATCTGGTTTTGTGTTTGTTTGTTTGTTTGTTTGTTTGTTAAGATAGGTCTCTCTATGTAGCTCAGACTGGAATTTACTATGTCCTGGAATTTACTATGCAGACCAGGCTGGCTCTAAACTCAGAGATCTGCCTGCCTCTGACTCAGCACTGTGATTAAAGACACAAACCACTACATTGAGTCCCTGTTTTTGACCCTCAGCAAAGCATAAGCCTGGCCTGATGGTACATGCCTATAATTCCAGCTCCAGAGAAGTAGATCAGATGATCAGAAGTTGAAACCCATCCTTGGCTATTTAGTAACCTTAAGGCCATCCTTGGATTTATGAGATTCTGTCTCTAAATAATAGAGTTCTCGATTAGATTTAAACAGTTGGATTAAGCATATTGCCCTGCCATTTTAATTTTTATATTAATGTTTAAAATGAAACCTGCTACATTTGATGAATTTTTGTATAGCTAAGCTTCTTCCTCAGATGAGAGAGATGTTTAAGTGAGTTAAGCTTCCTGCCAAGCCTGACAATGGGCGTTCCATCCCCAGGACCTGCTACAAAATATTCCACAGTACAGACAAAACGTGTTGACCTCTGGAGCTTAGTGCGTCAACTGGTAAGGCTCCCTGTCGTCTTTTCAAGCAATAAGGGAGCTTGTCACATGCCTGGCATTGTTTTAGCATGCTCAGTATGCTGCTGGACTTCGTGTCTGCAGAGGGTATTGAAGATCTCACCAATGGGACAGTCAAATGTGCTGTGACATGCATTTCCTGGGGTGGGTCTAGGGGTTCTGCTTTCCTAGGATAAATGCAGCTTTTTTTACAGAGGAAATGTGGAGAAGGGCATATCCACAGGAGGTCTCCCACACAAGAAGATCAGGGGAAAATCTAAAGACATTTGTGGTGTCTTTCATTTACAGCTTGATCAAAGTTCCAGCAACCTGCAGAGATACCTTGATTGCAAAGGTGCTTTTCCTGGGGTGAGACTTATCTATTGCTCTCCAGATGTGCTGACCCCTGTGATTTCTCCAAATGTGGGAAACTCAACTGCGTAATTTGTGGTAGTGCGGGACTGCGTATTAGTGCTGTCCCCTAGAGGAAAAAAGTTGCAGCAACCAGCCATCTATGTGCAAATCTCTGCTTTCTCTCCAGAATTTTCTATCAATAATATTTTTTTAAAAAGGTTAAAATAAAAATGAAGTCTTGAGGGTCAAACCCTGGTCTAAGAAGTAAGTAAAGCCAGGAGACTGGAAGGAGATGCTCTCCAGACATACACACTGATTTAAAGCTCTCTGCTTCCTGTGTATGGATGAAATGAGATCAGCTAGCTTCCTGACTGCTGAACCAGCCTCACACTCAGGATCCATGCCTTCCCTACCATGGTGGATGACAGTATCTTTTCTGGAACAATAAGCCCAAATAAATCCCTTCTTAAAAAATAAACAGTAACAAGAAATCACACATAACAACAACAGAATTCTGCTAAGAGCCATACCTTGTTCAATGATCATTGCAGCCTTACACAGAAAATACTTGTGCAGGTAAATCTAACCATAGCTGCCTGTCTGCCCTTGGACCAATGTTACCCTTGTTACTGATGCTTAGAACCAAATATTACTGTATTCATACATAATATAGCATCCTCATTTTGCCTTAAAAACTTTGCCCCTTATAGAGTTGGAGGTGGCTCAGTGGGTAAAGTGCTTGCTGTGCAAACATCAAGATGAGTTCAGATCCCCGAACATAACACCATGGAAACCTAGGTGTGATTGCACATACCTGTAATCCCAGTACCAGGAACAGAGATAAGCAGGTCATTGGAACTAACTGGTCAGATAATCTATCTAAATGCAAAGGTTTAGTGAGAGGTTCTGTCTCAGGGTGGAAGCAATGGAGGTAGACATTCTGATGTTAGCCTCTGGCCCCATGTGCATCAGCATGGATGAGTGTCTAGGCACACTTGTCAGGTCCAGCTCACTTGTCCAGTCCCCTGACGGAGTGTGCATTAAGGAAAGAAACAGGCCAGAGACAGAAAGTCGGGAGACCACCTGGTGAATACCAGGGTCCACCTTAAGTTTATTGCTCCAAATTCTTGTATAGTCCAACCAAAGGGGGGGGGGCGGACACACGAGTTCTTTGCCATGATACAAGGAACAAATGGACTTAATTGCTTCCTTAATTCTCCAAACATTTAGTAACCACACCTTATGTCAAACTTCTTGTTATTTAGCCTTGAGGATTAAGACATCTAGTAATCTTAGATCAAGTATTCTGTGATCTAGGTTAGACATTCACACCTTAGGCCAAATCCTTCAGTAGCCACATCTACACCTTAAACCTTTAGGTCTTGGCCCTTTAACCTTGAAAGAGCAAGGATAGTTTTGTACTCTCTGACCTTAAGTCAGTATGGAACAGAGCCACCTCTGTGGGCCCCCACATACACTCACCCTTGCCTAGACTCATGTGCATGTAATTTACTACAGGGTGCAGCCAGGGCAATACTGGTCTGGATTAATTGGTTGTCTTTGGAGAAGCTCTGTTATTTAGGCTCATGATACCTAACATGGCAATTCCTTGTTGTGTTAATAATTGAAGCTCATCATTTTATAGTGTTTTCAGGGAGTCCAGAAATGCTGATACAAAACAAATTTTAAGAGATCTGCACTTGATAATGACTTTGGGGGGCATCCATCACAGTGCTAGATCCTCTTGCTGACTCTGAAATACCTTCTGTCCTGTAACAGCTACTCCAAGATTAATCAGCTCAACCATGTCAAAGGCCTTGCCAGTAGCTCAGTCTCCTCCTCTGATGTCAAGGGCCAGAGTGTTTTGGATGTGAGTGGTCAAGAAATATGGTTTTTATTATTTTATTATCTGTTTACTTCTCTTCAGGAAGGGAGACTGATGTAATTATATAGGCTGGCAAATTTTGTTACATTAATTACAAACTGCATGATAAATTTAGTTCTTCAATAGCAATCTGACATTGTTCGTGGTATTCCCCACTACGTCACATTCTCACAGCCCCAATTTTATAGTGGAAAGAAAAGGCTGGGTGTGTGGCTCAGTTGGTTGTTTTGGCCTGGCATGCATTAGGCCCTGGGCTTTGATACCCAGCACTGCATATGCTAGGCATGGTGTTACATGCCTGTGTTCCCAGCATTTGAAGTATGGGGACAGGAGGATCATCAGGTCATACACAGCTACACAGTCTAAGGCCAGTCTGAGATTCATTAGGCAGCTAACAGTGATAACTCTAGTTCAGTGTTTCTCAACCTGAAGGGCACCACCTCTTTGAGGATTGAACGACCCTTTCACAGGAGTTGCCTAAGACAATCCAGAAAACACAGATATTTACAGTACAGTACGTAAGAATGGCAAGATTATAGTTATGAAGTAACAACGAGAGTAACTTTATGGTTGGGGGTTACCGCAACATGAGGGTCACACTAGGAAGGTTGAGAATCACTGTTCTAGTTCTTGGGGTTTCAAGGCCCTCTTCTGGTCTCCATCGGCACTGCATGGACATGGTGCAGAGAAATATAGCCAAAGCACCCAAGAACATAAAATAATCTTTAAAAAGCAAACAACGAAAACAGTAGGTGTAGGGCCGACACTCTGGAGACAGAAGTGAACAAAACCTTCGAGGCCTGCTCTTAAGAACCTAGCACTGAATGGGCAGAGACATCAAGAAAGAAGTAAGGCAGGTGAAGGAAACAGACCTAGGTAGCCCAGTGGAATGCAAAGCCACTCTGATAAGTCCACAGCTCAGGAGAGGCTTCAGGGACCAAAGGAGCCATGCTGGCTGGGGAGTAGTGGACAGACATTTCAGGCCTTGGGGCCAGTGAAGGCTCTTACTGGAAGCCAGACCATTCCTTCCAGCAATGCTGAACTGCACTCAGGAAGACAGTGATGAATTTGAAAATGTTCTGCATTTTCTCCAGAGAGATTGCCCAAGGGCTTTCCCGTCTCCTTTCTAAGTGTGTGCAATGCCTGGAGTTCTATACTAAAGCACCTCTGGCAAGACACTTATCTGCTGCCATCTTGTCTAAGCATCAGCTTTCGAGAACTGGCTTTGCTTTTGCTTCCACAGAGTGGATTAAAAGGAGCTCAAAGGTTCCTTAGTCCATCATCTAAATGTTACCCAGCTGTGTGAAACCGAACACATTCAGGCCTAAGCATGCTGACATATGAGATGCAAGGAGGCAGGGATCCTGGATACTGGACTATTGAGACAAACCCTCAGGTCAGTGACTACCTTATGCTGCTAAGAAGGGAAGCCAGCAAAGTTAAACTCACCACAAGACCTACCAAGAGAAAGAAAACCGTGTATCAAAGACCTTTGTGCAGTCTGGGGAGATGGCACACCTGTTAAGAGCACTTGTTCTTGCAGAGGACCACACAGATACTCACAGTGACCTGTAACTCCAGTTCCAGAGGATACAGTGTCCTCTTCTGGACTCTGCAGGTATGACAAGTATACGGTGCACACACTCACGAAAATAAAAATTAAAAAAAAAAATTAGGGGCATACTGGTTTTGCAAAGGACTTAAGTTTGGTTCTCAGCACTCCCATTAGGTAGCTCACCACCACCTGAAGCTCTAGTTCCAGGGGAACTATGGCCTTTTATGGCCTTTTTAGGTACATACCTATACAGGCAAACACACACACATGTACACACACTTAAAAAGAAAACATCTTAAAAGATCATTATGATGATAAGAAAACATCATAAAACATTTTTATACAGGCTATATTGCTTTCCTTCATAATTGCTATTACTGGACTACATCCCTAGTCCCTGTGGTGTGTGTGTGTGTGTGTGTGTGTGTGTGTGTGTGTGTGTGTGTGTGTGTTTGAGACGGGGTTATTTTATGTAATCTTGGCTGGCTTGGAACTTGCTATGTGCTGGGATTAAAACAGGTTTGGCTCAGGGACTATTTTTTCCTTCTCTCTCTCTCTCTCTCTCTCTCTCTCTCTCTTTCCAGTTTCTCTGTAACTTTGGATGTTGTTCTGGAACTCACTCTGTAGACCAGACTGGCCTTGAACTCACAGAGATTCACCTGCCTCTGCCTCCCCCAAGCACCACCACCACCTGGCACCCAAACACATTTTTAAAAAATAATAAAGCTGGCAGCCACTGTTAACCTTTAACAACCACTTTCTGCCTTAAGAGCAGACTTCTGGCAACCACTGTGTACAGAGGTAAACTTTTAACAATTGTCTCCTGTCTCCCAGCTTCCCAGCTAGGCTGATACAGTGGACAAAGGTTAGCTTCTAACTGTTGCCTTTGTGAGACCCTCTGTGTTGTATTCCTTTAATTTTTAACTGTCCTCCTATGTGACTCTATGCTCTGCCTTGCATTCTCTCAGGGACAGGGAAAAGCAGCTGTGTCAGCCACAGGCTTTTGCAAATATCCTAAGTTAACATCCTAACATCCTATTAACAGAAGTTGTAAAAGTTAAAATGTGGTTGTAAGCCTGACCTCATGGTTGTGAAAGCTCTTTGACCAAACCTGGTGCTTGATTTTACTGTAGGAAGAGGTACCAAACCAACCCCTATTGCCACAGTTTCAGAAGCCTGAACTCTTACTGTAGTCTCAGCTAAACAATAAGCTTTTTGTGCCAGAGGTGATTTTTTGTTTTGTTTTGGGAATAAAGTTTACTTCTGTCTCAGACATTGGTGGTGTGTCACCATTATTTGTGCCCCCAGATGGACCCAACAGTCATCAGGCTTGGGGTCAAGTGTCCAACCATCTCATTAGCCCCAGTCCTACTTAAAAACAACAACATAATTTCAGATTCAGGAACATGTTGCAACTTCTGATGTTTAGAGCCCCTCCTGCAGCAATGGAACACCTACTCCAATTAGCCACCTATCCACGATAGGTTTTCTAACTTGCTCAGTCCTTGAGTGTTCGGCATGTTGTTTCAGAATTACTAAGCCATGCCAGGGTGAGAAAGGGGTGTCCTCACAACTTTGCTGTGTTTCAGTTTCCTTCTGTCTGTAACTTGAGTTAATAGACTAAAATACTGGGATAGTTACTTTCACTTTCTGTGTATGCTATTCATTTGGAATGTTGCTTACAAGACTG